GGGACACTGGGGACACTGGGGACAGCCGGGGACAGCCGGGGCGGGCGGTGACACCGCTGTCCCCCCCCCGCAGTGGATGACGTGCAGGTGTCCTGTTACCGCATCCTGTGCAGCATCTACAGCCTGGGCACCGCCCGCGGGCCCCTCGTGGACAGGTGGGGACCCCAAAACCCCGGGGGGACCCCAAAACCTTGGAGGGGACCCCAAAAACCCCCAGCAGAGACCCCAAAAACTCCATCAGGGACCCCAAAACCTCAGCGGGGACCCAAAAACTCCATCAGGGACCCCAAAAACCCCAGAAACAGCCTGGAGCTGGAGGGGGCACACCCACAAAACCATTCTGGGAGACCCCCCCCCCAAAATGTGACAGGTTTGGGGTGGGGGTCTGGGGGTTCCCTGGGTTAGGGGTGCCATGGGGTGACCCCTGGATGTCCCCCCGGTGTCCCCAATGTCCCCTGGTGTCCCACAGGCAGCGGCCGGCCCTGGTTCAGTGCCATGGGGTGTCCTGTCCCCCCCAGTGCTGGGTCTCCCCTCGCGGGTCGAGGAGCTGTGTCCCGACCTGCCGGACCTGGAGCGCCTCATGGGTGACATCGGCGGCCTGGCGGACTCGGGGGCGCGCTACACGGAGATGCCACACGTCATCGAGGTGACGCTGCCCATGCTGTGCCACTACCTGCCCCGCTGGTGGGAGCGCGGCCCCGACGCCGCCCCCCAGGGCCCCTGGGCCACCGACGTCACCGGCCAGCACCTCAACGCCCTGCTGGGCCACATCCTGCGCATCGTGGTCAACAACCTGGGCATCGACGAGGCCTCCTGGATGAAGAGGCTGGCAGGTGAGCGTGGTGGCCACGGGCGGGTCCTGCAGGTCATTCTGGTGGCCCTGGCTGGGTTTGGGTGGTCCCAGGATGGTGCTGGTGGCCCTGGCTGGGTTTGGATGGTCCCAGGATGGTGCTGGTGGCCCTGGCTGGGTTCTGGTGGTCCTAGGATGGTGCTGGTGGCCCTGGGTGCGTCCTGCAGGTCATTCTGGTGGCCACGAGTGCGTCCTGCAGGTCGTTCTGGTGGCCACGGGCGGGTCCTGCAGGTCATTCTGGTGGTCCTGGGGCTGTTTTGGTGGCCCTGGAGCTCATGGTGACCATGTTTTCCCCAGTGTTTGCCCAGCCCATCGTGAGCAAGGCGCGGCTGGAGCTGCCCCAGGGTGGTCCTGGGGGTGTTTAGGTGGTCCCAGGGTGGTCCCAGCAGTGTTTCAGTGGTCCCAGGGCTGTTTTGGTGGTCCCAGGGCTGTTTTGGTGGCCCTGGAGCTCATGGTGACCACGTTTCCCCAGTGTTTGCCCAGCCCATCGTGAGCAAGGCGCGGCCGGAGCTGCCCCAGGGGTGTTCAGGTGGTCCCGGGGTTGTCACAGGGGTGTTTAGGTGGTCCCAGGGCTGTTTTAGTGGTCCCAGGGCTGTTTAGGTGGTCCCAGGGTGGTCCCAGCAGTGTTTCAGTGGTCCCAGGGCTGTTTTGGTGGTCCCAGGGTGGCCCCAGGGCTCACGGTGGCCACGTTTCCCCAGTGTTTGCCCAGCCCATCGTGAGCAAGGTGCGGCCGGAGCTGCCCCAGGGGTGTTCAGGTGGTCCCGGGGTTGTCACAGGGGTGTTTAGGTGGTCCCAGGGTGGCCCCAGGGCTCACGGTGACCACGTTTGCCCAGTGTTTGCCCAGCCCATCGTGAGCAAGGCGCGGCCGGAGCTGCTGCGCTCGCACTTCATCCCCACGCTGGGGCGGCTGCGGAAGCGCGCGGGGAAGGTGGTGGCCGAGGAGGAGCAGCTGCGCCTCGAGGGCAAGGCCGAGGCCGAGGACGCCGAGCTGCTGATCCGCGACGAGTTCTCGGTGCTCTGCCGCGACCTCTACGCGCTCTACCCGCTGCTCATCCGCTACGTGGACAACAGCCGGTCAGGGCGGGCTGGGGACAGTGCCAGGGGGTTTGGGACAGTGCCAGGGGGTTTGGGACAGTGCCAGGGGGCTGGGGACAGTGCCATGGGGCTGGGGACAGTGCCACAGGGGGCTGGGGACACGGCCAGGGGGCTGGGGACAGTGCCACAGGGCTGGGGACAGTGCCACAGGGCTGGGGACAGTGCCACAGGGCTGGGGACAGTGCCACAGGGCTGGGGACAGTGCCACAGGGCTGGGGACAGTGCCACAGGGCTGGGGACAGTGCCACAGGGCTGGGGACAGTGCCACAGGGCTGGGGACAGTGCCACAGGGCTGGGGACAGTGCCACAGGGCTGGGGACAGTGCCACAGGGCTGGGGACAGTGCCAGGGGGCTGAGGACAGTTCTGGGGTCAGTTCTGGGGACACGGCCGTGGTGGCCTTGGGGACATGGCCATGGTGGCCACAGGGACTCATTAACGGGGACCGTGGGGACCCAACGATGGCGGCCATGGGGGTGGTGACCCAGGAGGGGGCTGAGGGTGGTGACCCCCCGGCGGTGACCCCCCGGTGACCTCGCTGTGACCCCCGGTGTCCCCTCAGGGCCAAGTGGCTGACGGAGCCCAACGAGGACGCCGAGGAGCTGTTCCGCATGGTGGGCGAGGTCTTCATCTACTGGTCCAAGTCTCACGTGAGTGGGGGTCCGGGGGGGGGGCACCGAGGGGTCCCAGGGGGCCTTTGGGGGGTCCCTGACCCCCTCTCTGTGTTCCCCCACCCCAGAACTTCAAGCGTGAGGAGCAGAACTTCGTGGTGCAGAACGAGATCAACAACATGTCCTTCCTGACGGCCGACAGCAAGAGCAAGATGGCCAAGGTGGGCTGGGGGACCCCAAAACTGCCCCTGCACCCCCTGCCCACCTGACCCGGTGTCCCAGTGTCCCCAACGCTGTCCCCATGTCCCTAACGGTGTCCCACTGTCCCCATGTCCCCGTGTCCCTAACGGTGTCCCCGTGTCCCTAACTCTCTCTCTTCTCTCCCCCTCGGCTGCGGGTGCTGCTCCAGTCTGGAGATGGACAGGTTAGCGGGGAGGGGGCTGGGGGGGACAGGGGTGCCCCAGGGGTCCCTCAGGACCCCTCGGTGGGGTCACCACACTTGGGACCCCCAAAACTCCTGCAGGGTCCTGTTCTGTGGGGTCACCACAGCTGGGACCCCCAACACTCATGCAGGGTCCTGTCCTGTGGGGTCACCACAGCTGGGACCCCCAAAACTCCTGCAGAGTTCTGTCCTGTGGGGTCACCACACTTGGGACCCCCAAAACTCCTGCAGAGTTCTGTCCTGTGGGGTCACAACATCTGGGACCCCCCCAGGACCCCTCTGTGGGGTGACCTTGGCTGGGACCCCCCTGTCCTTATGGGGTTTCTCGTGTCCCCTGGTTATGGGGTCACTGCTGACCCCGTGTCCCTGTCCCTGTCCCCGTCCCTGTCCCCGCAGGGCAGTGGCTCGGAGCAGGAGCTGACACCATGTCCCATCCCTGTCCCCATGCTGTCCCTGTCCCCGCAGGGCGGTGGCTCGGAGCAGGAGCTGACCCCGTGTCCCTGTCCCTGTCCCCATGCTGTCCCTGTCCCCGCAGGGCGGTGGCTCGGAGCAGGAGCTGACCCCGTGTCCCTGTCCCTGTCCCTGTCCCCATGCTGTCCCTGTCCCTGCAGGGCGGTGGCCATGTCCCTAACGGTGTCCCACTGTCCCAATGTCCCCATGTCCCTAACGGTGTCCCAGTGTCCCCAGCACTGTCCCCAATGCTGTCCCCATGTCCCTAACGGTGTCCCACTGTCCCAATGTCCCCATGTCCCTAACGGTGTCCCAGTGTCCCCAGCACTGTCCCCAATGCTGTCCCCATGTCCCTAACGGTGTCCCACTGTCCCAATGTCCCCATGTCCCTAACGGTGTCCCCGTGTCCCCAGCACTGTCCCCAATGCTGTCCCCATGTCCCTAACGGTGTCCCACTGTCCCAATGTCCCCATGTCCCTAACGGTGTCCCAGTGTCCCCAGCACTGTCCCCAATGCTGTCCCCATGTCCCTAACGGTGTCCCACTGTCCCAATGTCCCCATGTCCCTAACGGTGTCCCCGTGTCCCCAGCACTGTCCCCAACGCTGTCCCCATGTCCCTAACGGTGTCCCCGTGTCCCTAACTCTCTCTCTTCTCTCCCCCTCGGCTGCGGGTGCTGCTCCAGTCTGGAGATGGACAGGTTAGCGGGGAGGGGGCTGGGGGGGGCAGGGGTGCCCCAGGGGTCCCCCAGGACCCCTCGGTGGGGTCACCACACTTGGGACCCCCAAAACTCCTGCAGGGTCCTGTCCTGTGGGGTCACAACATCTGGGACCCCCAAAACTCCTGCAGAGTTCTGTCCTGTGGGGTCACAACATCTGGGACCCCTCCAGGACCCCTCTGTGGGGTGACCTTGGCTGGGACCCCCCTGTCCTTATGGGGTTTCTCGTGTCCCCTGGTTATGGGGTCACTGCTGACCCCGTGTCCCTGTCCCTGTCCCCGTCCCTGTCCCCGCAGGGCAGTGGCTCGGAGCAGGAGCTGACACCATGTCCCATCCCTGTCCCCCTGCTGTCCCTGTCCCCGCAGGGCGGTGGCTCGGAGCAGGAGCTGGCACTGTGTTATGGGGTCCCTGCTGACCCCGTGTCCCTGTCCCCATGCTGTCCCTGTCCCCGCAGGGCAGTGGCTCAGAGCAGGAGCTGACCCTGTGTCCCTGTCCCTGTCCCCATGCTGTCCCTGTCCCCGCAGGGCGGTGGCTCGGAGCAGGAGCTGACCCCGTGTCCCTGTCCCTGTCCCCATGCTGTCCCTGTCCCCGCAGGGCGGTGGCTCGGAGCAGGAGCTGACCCCGTGTCCTGTCCCCATCCCTGTCCCTGTCCCCGCAGGGCGGTGGCTCGGAGCAGGAGCGCTCCAAGAAGCGGCGCCGCGGGGACAGGTACTCGGTGCACACCTCGCTCATCGTGGCCACGCTGAAGAAGATGCTGCCCATCGGCCTCAACATGTGCTCGCCCGCCGACCAGGAGCTGATCGCGCTGGCCAAGGGCCGCTACGCCCTGGTGGGTGTCAGGGGACACCTGGGGACACCTGGGACCCACAGATGTCCCCTGGGTTTAGGGACAAACCCCTGGGGTTGGAGACATGGGCCGCTACGCCCTGGTGGGTGCCCAGGACACCTGGAGACACCTGGGAGCCCCCAGAAACCCTCCCAGAACCCACAAACATCTCCTGGGTTTAGGGACAAAGCCCTGGGGTGGGGACATGGCGCTGGCCAAGGGCCGCTACACCCTGGTGGGTGCCCGGGACAGCTGGGGACACCTGGGGACACCTGGGACCCCCCAGAAACCCACCCAGAACCCACAAACATCTCCTGGGGTTGGGAACACGGCGCTGGCCAAGGGTGGCCACTGTGCTGTGGTGGGTGCCAGGGGACACCAGGGGACACCTGGGACCCCTCAGAAACCCCCCCGGAACCCACAGATGTCCCCAGGGTTTAGGGACAAACCCCTGGGGTTGGGGACATGGCCACCAAACCTTGGTGGGTGGCCGGGGACACCTTGGGGACAAGCCCAGGGTTTGGGGACACCCCCCAAGGGTTTGGGGAGCCTTGCTGAGGTGTCCCCTGTGTCCCCCCCTGCAGAAGGACACGGACGAGGAGGTTCGGGAGTTCCTGCACAACAACCTGCACCTGCAGGACAAGGTGAGCTGGCACGGCCCCCGCGTCACCGTGTCCCCTGCTGTGTCACCGTGTCCCCTGCTGTGTCACCGTGTCCCCTGCTGTGTCACCGTGTCTTCAGTGTCACCGTGTCCCCTCCTGTGTCACCGTGTCCCCAGTGTGCCACCGTGTCTTCAGTGTCACCGTGTCTACAGTGTCACCGTGTCCCCAGTGTGTCACCGTGTCGTCAGTGTCACCGTGTCGTCTTCAGTGTCACCGTGTCCTTGGTGTCACCGTGTCCCCAGTGTCACTGTGTCCCCAGTGCTGATGGCGACAATGTCCCCAGGTGGAGAACACGGGCTCGGCGCGGTGGCAGATGGCCCCGGTGCTGATGTCCCCAATGTCCCAATGATGTCCCCAATGTTGTCCCCAATGTCCCCAGGTGGAGAACACGGGCTCGGCGCGGTGGCAGATGGCCCCGGTGCTGATGTCCCCAATGTCCCAATGATGTCCCCAATGATGTCCCCAATGTCCCAATGATGTCCCCAATGTTGTCCCCAATGTCCC